CACCCACTTTTAGGAGCAGAGCTGTTTTTCACCGCAACAGAAAACTCAGTAGGAAGCGTTCGGGCCTTAGGGGCAGCAGGGCGTCAGGACCTTGAAAAGGTTCCGATGGTGTTGAGGAGGTCAGAAGGGAAGCCTCTCTCTTCCGCTTCCTCTGAAAACAGAGATTACCTGGAGCAGGAGCTGGGCTTTAAGCAGGGGAGTTCTCACTTTTAGGAGCAGAGCTGTTTTTCACCGCAACAGAAAACTCAGTAGGAAGCGTTCGGGCCTTAGGGGCAGCAGGGCGTCAGGACCTTGAAAAGGTTCCGATGGTGTTGAGGAGGTCAGAAGGGAAGCCTCTCTCTTCCGCTTCCTCTGAAAACAGAGATTACCTGGAGCAGGAGCTGGGCTTTAAGCAGGGGAGTTCTCCGCCCACCCTCTGCTACTAAAGCAGGGGAGCCAAATTTCGTGTTATGTCCTTTTAAAAAAATACATCTCCTCCCAAATCCTGCCTAACTCCTTGCAAACTTTATCCTCCAGACCTTCCATGAGGAAAGGAAACAAGGCAGCTCTCTCTCCTTTTTTTCACCTTCCTCTAATTTTCGGGGTGCTCTTTTTTGGGGGTGGCAGCAGAGGGGGTACCTTGATGTGAAAAGTCCACACGTGTTGGAAGTGCTTTTTGGGGAACTTCCACAGAATCCTCCAGAGAGGGCACAGCCACCGCTGGGAAATTCTGAGTGTCGTAGTCCAAGAAAAGTAACTTGCTGTTACTCGTGGCAGGACAGGGAGAGGGAAATGGGGGCTTATGCAAACCAGCATCTTTTTTGCATGTCCTGGCTTCCTGCCCAAGGCCTGTCTGGAGATGCTGAGCCCTCCCTTGGGGTTGGAGAACCTGGGGCTTCTTACGGCAAAGCTGGGGAAATGGAGCCGGGACCCGTGCCCCCCCCCGCCCCGTGTTGGCATCCTGAACTTTCATGGAAGAACCTGCCAAATGGGCTGTTAGGCTCACCCTCCCCCCAACCTCTGGTGTGTGGATGATCACCTTGGCCTGCCTGCCTCCCAGCGTTGTCGGCCTAAGAACCACGACCACATGTGATGTGCTTTGAGCCTTTCAAGAAAGGGGGATAGCGGGGCCAAATCCCTGAGGAAATGGTGCAGAGTCTGCTTGTCTCATGCGGCCTGGGCTGCCGTCCTCCGTTGGTTGCATGAAACGCCTTCTGGCCCTCAGCCGTGGCCAGGGGTTAGGGCCAGCCCGGCGGTCCTCGTCTGAGCCCCTTGACGACCCCACGGCCTCCTCAGTTAATCCTGTGTCTGGGTTGTGTGGCTTTGTGTTGTTGTTGATGATTATGATGATGATCAGTTGGTACAAATAACAGAGCCGGGGTTTCAATCAAGAGCTGGGGTTTGGTTTGTCAAGAAGCAGAACAGGCACCTAATCTCACAACTCATCAAAACTCTCTCAATGCACTGGAAATATTCGCTCCCTCAGAAGGAAGTCCTCCTGCGGTGTGCTCTGCACTTGGGGCGGGTGGGTGCGCGCTGGAGGCTGCAGCCACGTGTTGGTATTTGGGCCCTCAAGTGTGGAAATTTCTCTCTCTCTCTTGTGTGTGTGTTGGTGTTGGAGGGCAGGGAAGAGACTCCTTGTGTCTTCGGGGTTGTGCTGTCTGTTCCCTTGGCAACCAGATTATTGATCTGTAACATATGGCCCCACAGGATGAGATAAAGGGAGGGCCAACTTTATTTATTTATTTATTTGTTTGTTTGTTTGTTTGTTTGTTTATATCCCGCCTATCTGGTCAATTACGACCACTCTAGGTGGCTAACTTTGTGTCTGGGTGGTTTGTGTCTCTGTGGGGGAAGCTTTTGCCTGCTTGCTTGCAGCCCCACCTGCCTCACAGGCTCAAGGGTTTTCTGGCCTGGTGCACAGAGACACCAAGGTGTGCCAGCGGCACAAAGGCTGTCCTTCCAGCGGGTCCCCTTCGCTCTGCCTCAGGGGGTCCTGGCATCCGGGGGGTCTCCCTGGGCTCCCCTCGGCTCCAGCCGAGGAATGTAAGCCTCTTGCCAAACCACGGGTGGCAGGACAGGCCCACTGCCATTCACGTGGTCGCCAGCAACCGTGTCTATGTGGGGCAGAGATACTCTTCCCCCATACACACACACCACACACACACACACCACCCGGCAATACGTCTCCGTAATCATTCCTTTAGTAAAGGTAGCTCAGTGGTGCCTGTTGGAAGCAACACTTGGTAGAAGTAAATCAACCACCTGTCTGCCTTCCATCTTCTTTTTCATGAAGACAAACACTAAGCTCACCCCCTTTTCCTTTGCCCCTTCTTTCTTCCCTTCCTTCTTTCCTTTAGACTTTCTTGAGTCTGAGGGCTAATGAAGATGCCCACAGAGAGGCCGAGATCCCCCCCGGATTCCAGCGCAGCTTCTCGGCCTGCCCCCTTACCCTCTCAGCTTCTCGCAGGGAAGGGTCTGAACGCCCCTCGGAGGAGGCCCTCACCCTGCACGCCGTCTCTGACCGGAACAGCCTGGCGTGGCCCCTCCAGGCCCAGTGGAGTCGGGATCCTGAGGAGCCACCCAGCGCCAGCTCGCCACAAGCACAAGCCCTCTTCCGCCTGGACCGCTCCCTGAGCGCTCTCGAGGGCGGCCGCCAAGGGGAGGCCAGAGCAGTGTCGTCCCGGTACAAGACCGAGCTGTGCCGCACCTTTGAAGAGAGCGGCACCTGCAAGTACGGCGCCAAGTGCCAGTTTGCGCACGGCAGCGAGGAGCTGCGGGGGCTCAGCCGGCATCCCAAGTACAAGACCGAGCCCTGCCGCACCTTCCACACCTCCGGCTTCTGCCCCTACGGGGCTCGCTGCCACTTCATCCACAACGACGAGGAGCGCCGCCCGCTGCCCAGGAGCGCCCAGCGTGCCAGCCACAGCCTCGGCTCCGGGGGCTTTGCTGCGGGACCCCTGGCTGCAGCGTCCCCCCCTCCACCGGCCCCTTCAAGCCCCCGTCTACTCCAAATCTTCTTTCCCGGAGATGTCCTGAACTCCCAGGCAACCCCCGGTGGCTCCCTCAGCACCCCTAGATCCAGCCGAAGGCCTCTGGTGACACCTGGCCCTTTTGCTTTCCCCAGCCTCTCGGCGCTTCAGAAGAGCTGCTCTGCTGATTCCCTCTCCGACCAAGAAGATTCTGGAAGCTCGGTAGGAAGCAGCGGCTCCGAATCCCCCGGCGTAGGGCCCCCGGGACGCAGGCTCCCCATCTTCAGCCAGCTCTCCGTCTCCGATGACTGACGGGGCTCCTGGAGGCGGTTGGGGAGAGGGAAGCAG